GCCAGCTAAGGTTGATTTCGCGGGGCTGTGCGTAATTTTCCCCGTGGACGGGATAGTATATCTTCGGCGCAGCTCCCCAGGGAATTTATGGACGTGCTACGACGCGAGAAAGATTCGGCTGTTCGACGAGCTCCGTTCGAGACATTTTGAAGGAAGTGGAGTGTCGTAGTGGGAAATTCATCGGAGAATCTTGCCTTAACGACAAAGACGGCGTTAGATCGATGTAATATTTTGGTAACAAGATATGTATCCAATGCCTCTTTTTTTTTTTTTTTTTTTTATGGAAAAAAAAAACTATGCGACCTTCTTTTTATTTATTTTTCTTTTCTCCTTCAATCAATCATCCTTTCATATCGATACTTTAACTATGGATTCGTAAAGGTAATGAACTTTGAATTCATCGATTTAGGAAGCAAAACCATAATTGCGGCCGCAATCGACAATCCGAGACGAGCGTTAAGTAAAAATGATAAGAATTTTTTTTTTGACGGCTGATTCAACATTTACACATGTCACTTAATTCTAACGAACAAAATAGCAGTTAAAGTACTAATACTTTATGCGAAATGGTTCCGATTCTCTACTGGTGTCGACGTATAATTATGTACGGGTCACTCGATAACTTGTCATTGCCTTATATTTGAAAGTGTTTATAAATGCAAGAGGCCGATGATAAAACTCAACTCGCGATACAAGTCCCTCGCTTAAAGCCAATCGTCGTCTCGCTAAAGCTTTTACAGCTAATGGAAAATTCCGAAAATATCGACAGTTTTGTAGATTCATCGCGATTCCCCATCAGCCGTACAATTGCTCGGCACGATAACGAAACTCGACGGGGCAGGCGAAAGCTCCCGCTCCCACCTGTGCGATCGAACTTCCTGAGATTACCTCCGACCGATAGGAGCTTTAATCTCCAGCGGGTAATCGAGATTAACAGTCATTTTAATTCCGGTGGCTCCTCGCGCGAGCAAAACTCGGGATATCTGCTTACCGTGCAGACGCTCCCCTCGCTCGCATCGCGAATTCCTGCCGATAATCGTTGCAGAGCCGAGCGATTCTCGTTCGTCATCCCCTGTATCCTCAGAGTGGAAAATACTACTCTTACTGAGTGGTTGCGAACGCGATCCTTTTATTATGCTGACTTTTTGTCATTCTAGGAACAAGGATCGCACCCTAGGGTGTCAGACTGATTTATATATTTAATTGTCCTACAACATCTTCGTAAGTAATTCATAAATTTTACCAATCCAGATAACCGAAAATAATAAAATGAAAAAAATAATAATATGAACAAAAAATTAATCGTACGTAGTGAGGGAAGAGATTACGCCAGCTAAATATTTTTATTAAAATGTATTCAGTCGATGTGAATGTTATGTTTTTAACAGGACGTAAACGTTGAGATTGAGAAGAAAAATTTCATTCGAACTACGTAAGCCAGTAATTGTCGATATCAGGCTGTGTAAAGATAAGCAGGACGAGAGATGTATCGTTGATGTAAAACTAATTGCTGCCTATGCTAGCCGAGTATTAAAAATTATTTCTAGTGGAATTGATAAATCGAGAAGAAATAACGAAACTAAAGCCCTTTATATCGGATTAATCGATCATTTATATCTCTTAAAATAAATACAATGGATATGTGCAATAATGTTTAATGAGCCATGCAATCGGGCTTGATCGGCTTGAAAAAGTAAATGAACGAAGCTCGATATTTCTACGATTATATAAGTATCGAGGCCTCGGCTGAACGTATTGAAATGGTGACCCGGGTGAGCTAGTGACTGGGTCAACTACGTACCCTGGCAGGTCTTCCAGTCGTCCTCGAGCATGAATCCATCGGGGCAGAGACAGAATACGCGGCCCATGCTCGCGAGGCAGGTATGCGAGCAGCCGGCGTTCTCGTAATTGCAGGGTCCGGTGTCAGGTTGCTCGACCTCTTGGCAGGTGCGATTGTCCGCGGCGAGGACGGCGTCGGGCCGCCCCTCGCAGGAGCAGGCGAAACCGCCCGGGTAGTTGCGACAGGTGTCCTGGCAGGGTCCGCGTCCCTCGTTCCCATGGCACTCGTTGATGTCTGTGGGCAGGTAATTCGTAGATGTTTTGCATTGCCAGGCTCGAGCGCGGGTCGACACCCTATTTTAAGGATTAACCCCTGCCCGGTTAAGTTCTTTGCCAGGGAGTAAGTGAGAAAGTATCGCACGAAAGAAACAGAGTTTCTTTTTTTTCTAAACGACTTTTCAGTTTAAAAGAATTATTGAAGTTAGAAGTTAGCTTTTCTGTTTTACCACTTTTGCCATTGAATAAATTTTCATTTTTATTTCATTGACGCTGTACTTCAATATATTGATTATATTATAATTTACTTCCTAAGCGTTATATATAAGAAATTTATGTATTATGATGTATGCTTATCTTTACTTTGGCTACGATAACGAATATAAACGTATTTTATAGGTATCCCATTGAAGCAATATATATATATATATATATATGTATGAAAAGCATAATAATTAATTACATAAATTCAATATTGAACTTGATATTTTTTATAGATATTTATAGATCAAAATATTATTGAATTAATTAAGAAAATCATTTACCCTCCCAATGACGTCTTTTCATCGACTTTCTTATAATAATTCATTATTTTGAATATTTCAGTTTTCACCCATAATATTTATGATATATAATAATTCAATATTACGTATAATGGAAATATTATTTTATTAATTATTACAAAATATTTTTTACTTCGTAGTTCGTACGAAATAGTATATTATTGATTTTTTGGATAAATATTGTTCAAGATAACAACTTTTAATAAAGAATTCCAATAAATGTTTCTTTTTTTAAAGGACAACTCGCAATTGATTACGATCGAAATGGTATTTTTTCAAATATTGTATACTATATATATATACACATATATATATATATATATATATATACATATATTCGTGAGAGAGAGAGAGAGAGAGAGAAAGTACAGAAAATCTTACACGGTTAAATCCGCTTGGTTATGCAAGAGTATTTGCTTTCTTTTTCTCTTGGTCATTTTTAACAATACTAGCTATGTTAAACAATACCAGCTATATTAATGAAATTTCTTTTGCATTTATGCATTGATATATGTGCATCGCGTTCTTTAATATATTTATATTGGCATATTATGTAAATAAAAGAAACAGAGAGGGGAGCGAAGAACAAAAAAGATTTTTTTTTACATATCATACTTTTCGCTTTTCGTGTCGTCATCTAAATATTTACTTCTACAGTCACTCATACATAATTTATCTTTTCTGAAAAGACGAGTTTTAAAAAAACTATTTACGAAACAACGTATTTCATTCGTATTTTGCAATATAAATATCGAGATATTCTATTTTGCGAGTAACTGTTCAATGATATACTACTTTGAAATTTTTTTTTTTTTTTTTTGGCTAAAAGACATAAATAATTTAATGTTGAAATATTGTATTTTAATTTGAACAAATTATAAAGAAGTTCAAATAAAGATTTGAAAAATTCTGAAAAATTTGTTACAGTATTAGAAAATTAAAAAATTCATACTTTTACGAAAGCAGGTGAAGCTATTGCATGTTAATGGCAAAATTTCTAATACAATGTACAGTAGAAAATAGATTTGAATCTTGGTAAAATATATTTTTGACTATTATTTCCTTCCAAATGTAAATTGCTATATATCATGTAATGAATTTCATGAAAAGACGAATTGTCGATGAATTTAAAATCTATTATATGTAATTCAAATCATAGGTATTAAATGCCTATGATTTCTCGTTTTACATACTATTTGTCAAACAGAATATTGAAAGTTATGATACAAATAATATCTTTGGGAATGTAATGTCAAATTTCAAATAAAGAATATTTTCTTGCTTTTTGCATTATTTTCCTTTTATGCATACATGCGACAAAAGTCCAGAGAAGTCGCATTTAACAAATAAATTTCGATATACTTTTTTTTCTTTTTATCCATGCAAGTATTTTAAATGCAAAACAAAATAAAAATTCCTTTATTAATGAAGCATATATTGGAAAATTTGGCTAATTTTTTTTTTTCGCTAGCACACTTTAACTAATGCGATAATATTACATTTTAGTAAAATCTCTATTTCTGATATTTTTACTCTACTTCTCCTTCTTCCAATACTAACGCGAAATACATTTCTATTCTATTTTTAACTTTGGTAAAAATTCCTATACACTCATACACTCTTCCTCGTGTGCTTCTGCCCCGATTGTGTTTCTACACGTTATGTCTACTTTGGATAGACCAATGGGGTCATGGATTGATCAGCTAAAGGATAAGTCATCCTATTTTAACGAGTCGTGTAGAGTAATGTAAATAAAATTTATTTAAATACGTTCTACCGACAAGTCGATTCTCTCTAGTAACAAGAATAATACGCCGTAAGCCGAAACGGATAATATCAATAAATCACGATAAATACATTTCACATTGTATGTTTAAAATTTCCTCCCTCTCACTCTCTCTCTCTCTCTCCCTCGCACTACTCTTTGCTCTTTGGGTATCATTATTTCCTTGTTTACTGATAAATTGACAAATCTTTTCGCACTCGAATAGGAATTGATTTTTCCGTCTCCCATTCTTCCTATTATTGGACTTTCGACACGTATGACAATTCACGCTCCATTCCATCCTTAATCGATCACTTTAATCTCATTGTTTTCACAAATAAAACGTTGTAGTTTTTTGTTAAAATGCATTAAAACGAAGATTTTTTCAGATTGGAAATGACATCGGCACTATACCTTTAGTTGTTCTGTTTAATAATTTTTTATAAAAATTTTTAGCATTTATTATGATTACCGGAGACACATCATTAAACCGAATCTCACGGTAATCTGTTATATTATCAAAACCAAATACATACATCATAGTATTTAATGCTGAAAATTATATTTTAAAGTATCGTTTTATACTCTGAGCAGGTTGAGATGTATAACCAAGACATTTTTACTTTAGATTTCTATTTTCCAGTTGTATTGCTGTTATTAGTTTCATGACATATGTAAGTTAAAAGAGATTTTCTCGGTATATTGACGAATTATCTTTAATTTTGAAAATACGATGGCTTTTATTATTATTTCCATTTCAACATTTAGTAACTCTTACTTGCGAAAAGTAATAGATGAGTTATTAAAAAAGAATGCTAATGTATCGTTATATAATTTATAGCAAAAGTTGTTCAATTTGTCAGACTACTTTCATTGATTTATCGAGAAAGCATAAACAATTAATAATATCAATTTTCAAGGATCACATACTTTAGCGCACAAAATAATAGTATTTCAAATAATTATTGATATCGTATTGATAATGTAAATTCAATGACATTTGATATAGAATCCCGATCACACAAGATCGAATATTACTAATTAAATGTTTATCAATAGAATAATAATAATAAAAATATCATTACCTGAATTTTTAATTAAATTAAATACGTTAAGTCTTTTTACAATATATATATATATATATATATATATGGCCACGTCAATTTCAAGATGTTTTATTCCTTATGGAATTACGATGTAGAATAAAAATAATAGTAGAACCAGGATTTTCATAAAAACTATTTTTGTTTTTTTACTTCCTTTTTTTTACTCTGCAATTAAATAGATTCTCATTGTACCTAACCGTACAAAACAATTCAATCAATGAACACAGTGGAATATTATGCTTTAGGAAAATTCATAATTATGTTTTTGCAGATTTTCATCTACCTTAAACTTCCAATATCTTAAGCATATATTTATATTCCCATTATTATTACTACTATTAACCTACACTTACTCGACTTCCTCGATATTTATATTTTATCTTATTAGTAGAATACTGTATATAAGCTTTAAAATACCATAATTTTATACCAACTACTATTTCACCTCATAAGCAGTAATAATAATAATGGAATCTCAATAAATCTATCTCTAAGGTAAATTCCCATTGTATTGTGAATGCGAAACATAATACCGCATTTGGTGTCTTGTTTCAAAAGCAAAAAAAAAAAAAAAAAAAAAAAAAAAAAATAAATAAATACATAAAAAACAATATCGCTTGTTCTCTAATCGTCTAAAAGCATGTTATTTTCAATTCGGTGAGCCAAGAAAAATAAAAGAGAAGTAATTATAATATCCATGATATCTCGGACGAGAAAATAGGCTCAGAGGAACGGAATAAATCATCGACTCGAAGCCTTGTAGATCGTCGTGACCCTGATCCTGAGCCCCGGGCGTAATAACAAGTTGGTGTACTTACCTGTGCACCTGGGGCCGTCAATGCGGAAACCCTCGCGGCAGAGACAGGCGGCTCTACCCTGGACGATCCTGCAGAGCTGCTCGCATCCGAGTCGCGCGCAGGTGGCCTCGTCGTCGCCGACGAACCTGCACTCGGACACGTGACCAATCCAGCGTCTGTTGCTACAGAGGAGTCGGGCGCTGCTCGCGTTGTTCGTCATAGCGAATTCACCTTCGCACTCGTAGTCCGCCTCGAGGTACTCGTGGCCCGGTCTCGACGACCTTTCGACAATGCCAATTCAGCTTCAGCCAAGATCATCGAGCTCGCTCGCCTTAACTATGTCGCGATTTTTATTCTCAGCCTTGCACACGACTTTTAAAGGCCCTCGGTAAAATGCTTCTAGGATTCTCGAGCGCTGCTCTCTCTCTCTCTCTCTCTCTCTCTCTCTCTCTCTCTGTCTTATAGCCGACTTAAGCTTACGTATTTTCAGTAATCCAATACCGTATTAGTAGATTTTGTCGTGTTTATTGACGATGGGATGTTTAAGGTGGATGAGGAGGATAATAGAGCGGGGAGGGTGCGAGGGAGGGAGCGGAACGAAGGATTACAGTTATGTATTTCGTTATTCAACTTGACATGTGTATCGCATAGATTGCAATCTACGTTAATGCCGACGGTATATGAATAAATCATTGGATAAATGGCTTTTTACTTTATGGAAAGCATTACATTCTCCCAAATGGACAAATACGATATTTCCTATTTAGAAGAATTTGAAAATATTACTCACTTAAACTTAAAATTCTTTTAATATTTATTAATGATTAATTACATTAATATTGATAATGCCTAGATTGAAAAGAGCAGGCTCGATTGTCGATATGATTACATTTATCACTTAGGTTCTTCGAAAAATTTATTGCATTTCTTTATTGTCGACGTTATCAAACATCCGCTAATTTTAATTATATAAGCAATTGAATTTTATCTCGATTTAAAATGTAGAATCGAATATATGTCGTATCATGTTATGTAAATGGGCTTATTTAATCAAAAAATAATATTGACACACTAATGTTACATTGTAGTCAATGAATTTATTCATGATTTTATGAGACGTTAAAGAAATTGAACGTTAAATTATGCAGAGCTAAATAATACTGCAAGAAGAGCATTGTAATGTAATAACTAATAAGAGCAATAATGTTTTGCAATAAAAATTTCAGCGCATATTAATTATATAAAAAGTATTTACATAAAATGAAATGCTAATATTATCGAATAAGAGAGATGGTCCAACATGAAATTTAGATTCCATTTAATATTGAACTTCCCATCGTCCAATAGAATTATTTGTTTTATGTAAAAAGACAAAAAAAAAAAAAAATTCGCTAAACAAATTAAAAATCTTACTTTAAGTCAGAGAAAATATCTCGCAAATCTAATCAAGACATCTATTGGATTAACTGAATTCGGAGCTTCTTTCAATGTTAATTTTCTCGAAAAGACAAAAAGTAAATCAAACTTATCCCATTGCATTTTACGTTCGACTATTTTTCCTTTTCGAAAAAGCCTATCACTCCTTTCAAAGAGAAATATCGCCTCAAAATTCTGGAACCTCCGATGCATAGATTATAGTAACAATACAAAGTTCAAAGGATTTATTTTTGTTTTTTTTTTTTTTTTTTTTTATCATTGTTTTGTAATTATAAGAAACAGTCGGCGATTATTAATCGTGCGCGTGCGTACGAGGTAGGAAGGACTTAAGTACTGTGCATTAAAAGGCATCACCAATTCGATCGTGGCAACGAATTTGAATTAATCAAGCTAGACTCACTTAACATATTTGATGACGGCGTGTCGAATGAACGGAGCTGGCACAAATGTTCCGTTTATGCACGACAAATCTCCCCGCGGGTCATCCTCGTCCGTTAAGAAAATGACCGCCTCCGTTGTGCTGGGCGTCCTGGGCGGTGACTCTTTTCTCGCTATTCCTTGGTAAACTCCGTCCTTCTTATCCTGAAATGGAATTTGTAATCAGCCCCTCTTTTCAAAATTATTGGCAATATAATGCACATTTCACGTCAGTTTAAATACACGTCGAGACTTTCTTTTAACGACTACTCGATGGAAATTGTCCAATCAAGCTCTCCCGTTATGTCGTACTATTTTAAAGTACAAATTAAGGAATTTTTTTTTTTTTTTATTTAAACTCGTGTATTAAAAATATTTCTATACGTATATATATATATATATATCCGTTAAAGTATAATTACTCTACTAAAAACATAATGCATATTTGCATTTGTAATAATACTTAAAAGCGAATAAAAGACACGCATTTTTTACTTTTATTACGAATATAATGAAATAATGGAGATAAATGCAGATATAAGACGGTAGAATGACTGTTTCTTTGATAAAGAGAGTTTGACTATTTTCTTCAACGAATACAATTTACACAAAAACAATAAATAAAATCAAAATGCACTTTTAGGTAGTTTTCAAAAGTTATTACATTCGCTTAAATAAAAGGAAATATAAATTTAGTCTCTTTTTGTATGAACTTTTTTCCAAGTGATTTCCATTCAAGATACATATAATGAACTCATCAGCATCAATATTATCTAATAATATGCTATTTTAAACTAAACATGTAATTGCAAAAGTAAAAATCAATTAAGAGAGAAGCTTTATGATGTCGCTAGTTTGAAGGCTAAAAATTTACCTTTAACTTGCCGGAATTGGCAACCCTGGCCATACTAGAGCTCATATAGGCGTTGTAGTCCTTAAGTGTTCTTTGCAGCACTTCTTTTTCCATGTCCAAAATCGGCAGATCTTCATCCGTCCGCGAATAGCCGAGTATTCTCTCGGGATCAAAAGGTCCTTTCACCATCTCTTCGGTCTGTTTCGTCGCTTGTGGGTATCGCTCGTCGAACCTCGGGAAATCTTCGTCTACTTCGTTCGTTTGCACCTCCTCGTCCTCTTCCTCATCTTCCTCCTCTACCTCTCTGTCCTCGTCTTCAATTTCCTTGTCATGCTGATTGCTCGTGCCTTTCTGCGCTCGTAAAAATTCGCGTTCCATTTGGCGTGAGAAGTCGCGCTCTATGTCCCCCGGGAGTACGTGATAACGCGAAGTCGGCTCCGGTGGCTCCGGTATTCGTGGCTCCGTTGTTAGTTGAGTCGGATAAATGGAGGACGAGGTACTATTTACCATCTCAAATGATCTTATGGATCCTGCCCATAAGAGTTTTATTATTAATTATGTCGATCAAAGAATTTAAAGCATCTTCCGCTTACAAAACTTCATGAACGTAACGCTCATGTTTCTTATATGTATACGTTAGCTGTCTATTTACAATGGCTTTCTAATTACATTTATTGTGTAATTGTATTACTTTTTTATTTTATTATCGGGCCGGATTTAATCTGTTTAATTAAGAGATGAATGTTTTCATAAATAATTTTCTGATTAAAATTACCTGAAATCAATGAATTGAAATTCAAATGAATAAATAACATTAATAACAATATCAAGTAAATAATAAAATTTACGTTCTCTGCTCGAAGTTTTATAAAATATATTATGCATAATATTAAATTGCTGTTTTATGTAGTTTAGCAATTCAATTTTATAAGATATATATATATATATATATATATATATATATAAGGCGATTACACCATCCCCTTACCCATGTACGTAAGGATCTTATGAGAAGGTATAAATTCAACTAGCTTTCACAAAATGAAAATCACGAATGCTTAGGAAAATATTATTAACGATCACGTATGGCAAAGTGGGTTCCTTGTGGGTGTGTGCTAAGATTGTATGAGCGTTTACAAAGCGATAAGTGAAGATATTGACGTAAGGGGTCGCGCAGCGTGTGCAAGTTCTGGCAAGTTTCCGCATTCCGTGTTTTGCAACGAATCACGTATTACGGTGACGCGAATGGATACAACGACATGGCCGAGAGAGCAGCGCGTGAACTTTGGGAAGGAAGTTGAATTGTAGCGAATCGGAATGCTTGGACAACACATGCATCATCCACACGTACGTGACCACTCCTCTACTCGCTCTCTTATTCGGCCCATATTTCTCGAGCTTTTCTTTCACTTTATCAATGAACTCGCACTTACATAGTCATTACTGTTATTTTGTCCTTAGGGAATTTTGGAAACTTCCTTTATCTTTGACCTACTACTCTTATCTGGAAAGTCCTCTTACAGTTGCTTAAAATCACGAAGTAGAGGCGTCAATCCGTACCAAGTGGGGCCGAGTTTTAGTCGTGGGCAAAAGCGGGACTCCGAGGGCTTCTTAATTAAGAATTGCGAAAAATAAATTATTCTTACAGTTCGACACCCACACATCCAACACACTGTCTGTAATCTATTAAGAAACGATAATTTGTAAATAAGCTTGATCGTTCGGATGCGATTAGTTTCTTACGCGATTCATTGCCTCGTTTCATTTGGACGCTTAAGGCTGTTTATAAAATACTTGCACTATTTTTATTATTCTATGATATATATATATATATATATATATATATAAATATATAGTTTTATAATTTGAATAACTTTTATACAAAAGTGTCGAACGTATATAAACTTTGAAAGTTTCATTAAACGCGACAGCTAATTCATAGATATATTATTAGAAATTTTATCGACATTAATATCGCTTCATTTAGCTTAAATACTAAGATTTTACTCCACACGAATTATTAATAACGCATATGCGGAATATGAGAATAAATGTTTATAAGTGAGAATCGTCATGACAATAAATCCCTGATAAAAGCAATTTTTCCTTTTGTTTTGTTTGCTTTTTTCTATCTTATTTTTAATTTTTAATTTTTAATTTTTAGTGTCCTTTTATTAGTTTTTAATGAAGCACTGTTCACGCGTCGAGAAAAGCAATTATTCTTATTAGACAATTTGTTCGTAATGACCTCTATTCCAGAGAAAAGGCTCGAATGAAAAATACGCTAACGCTTCTTGATTTATAATGTATTGGGCACTCGAAATTCTAGGCGTTAAAATTAATGAGTCGTTCCAAGTAAGGACTGCCAGGAGCAAGGACTACAGCAAGTATTTCCCTCCTAATAATCGTAATAATCGTAAGAAAAAGTAAACGCAATCGCTCTTTTTTTTTTTTTTTTTTTTTTTTTTTTTTTTTACTTTTCTTTCATTTTAGTTTTGCACATCGGCACACTCACCAATACTCTCATCGAAGTTCGTCGTCGAGAGATTGAGGGAGTTCTTGCTCAAAGGGTCGGCCCTCAATGGCGTCTGCTTGTTGAGAATCTTGACGAGTCGCGTCATGAGGCTGTCGCGCCACTTGGGCTCATTGCCTCGGCTATCAACCCTGTTCTGCCTGTGGTCCCTGTTCCACCTACGCGAGCTCGCCTCGCGATCCTTGTTCCGCATGCGTCTGTTGTGCTCGCCTCGCTCTTTGCGCATGCGCCTCCGACGCTCCCTGCGATATTGTTTACGGCGTTCGAGCCTCTTGCGACGGCGATCGGCTCGCGCCTCCCGCGACTTTGCACCACCACTGCCTTGGCCAATAATTTTGTCCAATTAATTTATTAATTTACAATCGGCACTCGATCATATGCACCGCAAACGGAGATTCTCCTTTAGCATTAGACTCGCGTGTAAGATTTCAAGTTGCAACACGCGATACAAAATGACTGGACGCGCAAAATTTTAATGGCCATGAGCATGATATCCAACAGATAAAGTACAATTTTAGAAACTCTAAAGCAGAATTTTCTTTTACATGGCTGTTACATTATATAATTTTTTTTTTTTTTTTTTTTTTTTTTTTTTTTTTTTTTTAAATTAACTTTCAATAGAGAGTGAAGGTAATCGTTTAATTTTTAATACGCTCACATGCCGTTAGTTGTTGCTATTTGAAATAATAATTCTCATACAGATAGGTTGTTAAAATTTTTAATATATGCATGTATATATATATTGTTTTTCTTTTCTTTTTTCTTTATTCGTTTTATATTGAATAACTAGTCGAACGATAGTCTCCGTTTGTCGAAATTTTATGATGCAGAAGGCATTTATCAATATTAGTTTTATTACTTGTTTTTATTTTTATTTTATCCGCTAATTAGAAGTAGAAAGACAAAAAAATTATTGAATAATGGAAAGGTCAATTTTTTCTTACTCAAACATTTTCATATTCACAAAATTAAGAAATTATTAATTTTGTTAATGGTGTCCAACAAGCGTATAAGAAGCTCGTAATGTCAATACAACTTTGAACATTGCCCATTATTTATTCTCCACTGGTCACAATCATCACGAAAAGAATGTAAAAGTGAAAATGCATTTCCCAATATTGCGGATTGCGGTTGTGTTGGAAAATGTACATACCGTGGGAAAGCGAAAGGTAGGTTCGAGTAGGTAGGTCAGGTTTGTTCGTTATCTTACTTGCACTAGTGGCCGGCTGTCCGCGGAGGTCCAACGATTCTCCGCCGGGGTTTCGTGGCACGAGGGTTGTATTCTCATTTCCGTTTGCTTGCGGTGACGCCAGAGTCGCTTCCCTGAGCGGGGGTGGCGGCGGCGGCCCCAACCGCTGATCCCCCTCCAACCTCATCGTCTTCGATCCCTCGGGTGGCGCATCCCAGCTAATGGACAACATAGCTCTTACTTCTGTATCATCTGACAATTTAACTCTTCTATGCTTAATCATCAACTTGGGGTTGCTTTTTATGTGGACTGGTAGGGTGAAGTGTAGGGGCTGGGAGAAACTGTGATTTCTCGTGTGGGTTTTGCAGGGACGAAGACTTGTATGATTTTGGAGAGTCTGGCGCTTTCGCGGATAGTATCGGGTGAACAAATATTGAAATTACAAGAGAATATTTCGATCAGGACTGTATTTATCGTTTCGTTCAAGAGCTTAAATTAATCAGACATATAATTGCAATCTTGCTTATAATATTATTTTTTTCTTCTATTTTTATATTCAATCAATTAGGAGCCAATGTTATTGAGCTAATTTGTCCATGTAATATTATAATTAGTTAACATTATGTACGTTCGAGATAGTTAAGTATAAGCGAGGTATAAGGTATTTCTGCATATTACGTCATTACAAGATCCTTCTAAAGGTCGTAGAAATGCCTATTGCACCAAGAAATGTATATTCCAAAGTTTATTCTAGATTGACAGTTTTCAAAGAGAATATTTGAACGGTGTCAACTATGAGAATACAACGTCAAAAAGCTTGTCATTTACATGTACTTCAAAGTAACTTTAAAATAACCGTATTTTATACAACGATGGATTTCTTTACTATATTTTAGCAGATTTTTTTTACTAATTTATTATTAAATTGTTAGTTAACATAAAAAGTGTCAATTTATTACGAATATGGCTTTAAAATATTTTACTCTTTATATATATATATATATATATATATATATATATATATATATATATATTAATGATATATTGATTAATAATGTTTTACAACATGAAATTAAGAAAAATCAAAATTAATTAATTGTAAAACAATTAAATTTAGATTCTATTAGATAGCACATAAAATATTTAGAAAGATAAAAAGTATTATATTATGAAAGATCATAATAGAATACCTGTTATATATATATATATATATATATATATATATATATATATATATATATATATATAAATAAATAAATAATATTTATGAGTGCACAAAAAATAATTTAAACCGTACATAATAATGTTAAACTTTATTGACATACTAAAGATAATGAAATAAATATATTTTTAATCATTAAAACTAATTAAAATCTTTTTTTGGATGTACCTTAAAATAAAGATGTCGATAAAATATCGAAGTGAAACAAAATGATTTATATATGTATATTTGCTATTTATATGTTTATTAAAGCGAAGCATAACTTTATAATGATAAATTTTTAAGTAATTGCTGTTAATCATGAAATTAAAAACTTGAATTATACAAAATATATGCATAAAATTTTTTGGAAATTAATGATTTAAAATTCGTACCTTAATCAGTGACTTTTGAATGACATACACATACACGCGCGCACGTTAAATCGCGAATACGCGCACACATACAAATATATTAATTAAAAATCAAGCATTCGAAAATTATTATTAATTTATATAACTTTTCAATTATATGAAGCTATATAATTTTTCGTAAATAGTAGGTTTTTAGTATTACGATGACATATCAAGTTACCTACTTGATGAGATTAAAAATTAATTTTTTTCAAACTAATGAATATTCTAAAAGTAATTTATTACTTATATAATATCTTACGTCATTTTTTATTTTATGTAAATTTAAAATACTACAATCAGCTTGTTTTTGTAAATTAACTCTGTACCGATAATCATCCATTTTCAATATATAATTTCTACTTTTCACTTGTCTTTATTTCTCTTTTTCTGCACTTCTTTTCAACTTCATTGTTATGCATTTATTTATTTTTGTGATTCAATAATAAATATTTTTACTGCGAAATCATTGTTGCGAAAGTATTGTATTCTGGCAATATATTCCTACGCTCAACTTGTATCTCTAATAATAATTTAATAGTATGGATTTAAAAAAAAAAACAAACAAAGTTTAATTGCTCTTAAGAAAATTTGAAATCTGGATATATTTATCCCAAATTATGCAATGCTAAAGTGAAAGTAGGTCGATTAGAACAGTTGTTATTAATTCGACAATTAACTTTGCTCGGGAAACTTTGTTTTTCAAATTATCCAGCATTGACTTTTGCACTGTGAAGAAAAAAAACGGACTATGATTAATCCATTAATTATAAAATTACTATTGTCACACTACGCATCTGGAATTGCGTCAAATTCATCCTACAATTCAATTTTTGCACTATTGTTTGGATTCTTTTTTAAAAATGTTTTTTATTATGTAATTATATTTTGAATGCTACAATCGGAAATAATAGAAAATTTTTAAAATAAAGAGCAAATAGCGAATTATATAGTTTTGTGAACTTAACATGTGGCTTTAAAAATATATATTATGATTCCAATTATTATAATTAAATATGATGAATTAATGTATCTTTACTAAGAATTAATTTTCAGATAATTCACAGGAACTTGTTGAAAATATAAATTAAAACATTTAATCCTATTTATATTGTGTCGTTAAAAAATATTATTGCTTTGCAGCACTTTTAGAATTTAGTTTGTAATTAATATTATACTGAGACTATTGGAATTATACAGATAATTGAAAATTCAAAATAATTAACCATACATACAAATCATCATGTCGATCTTCCAAGTCATGATAATGTCTTCCAGCTCCTGCATTTTGGCACAAACCTGCAAAAAGAATTATTTATTATTTACAATATCAGTTATTATGAGTAATTATATGAGAATATTTCATTATAATAAAGTTACTTTCCAAATTTATACATCTCTCTGCAATAATGTGTACAATTCGTATAATAAATATTTATATCGTTTTACAATAATTTAATAGTAATAAAATAATAGATAGAAAAATGTACCGTAATTCATTTTGTAATTCTATAAAGAAAATTCTGAATGGTTGTTAAAGTTTAGAATGTAACAGTAACAAATAGGATTGATGCTCAATCCTAATTAAATACTGAACATTATAATAGTAAAGTTAGTAATATATATATATATATATATATACTAAATTAAAAGTCATTAAAAAAAGAAGGAACAATGGCATTAATAATGCATGCTCATAGAAAATGAGAGAATTTTTTAAGACAAATAATATTAATTGAAATAAGGGGAAGGCATTTTGACAGAAATTATAAGAATATTAAGGGTTTAACGATTTTATAAAATATAGTGCTTAATAACTACATTATTACACAGTTATACAAAAGTCTACTGAAGTTTAATTCATGAAAGTCGAGATCCGTATAAATGGATTATCATAGAAAGCCCAAATGAAGTAGGGGACGTATTTGATTCTGCGAAAAAGTTCGTCTCGCAGATAAAGAAAAGCTGCGTACCGATTCCCACGAGAGAGGGAAAGACAGCGAGAAAGGGATCGTGAACGAGGGTGGAGGAGGGGGAGCTGCACGATAGCAATGGAACTTCCTGCGTCTACTCACGACCCTTTCATCGGGCATATAAGTAAGACGAATGTTCACTTACGGGGATACACGGACACACGCACACACACGCACACAGGCACACACTGTCGAACTTTATTCCGCAAGTGGGAATCGGTAAGGAGAGGAGAGCGAAGATGCGAGAAGAAAGTCAATGGATAGGGAGAGTTGGTTTTCCAATACCGTGGAAGTACCAGTGAGTCAGTGAGTTCCACGATATTGGACTTTTTATTGCTCGCGCGACTCGCCGCCAGTCGACCTCGACAGAGCGAGCAAGAGGGGAGAAATGCACGTTAGGTATTAAGAATTGATCTTCCTTGGGTGTAGAGTTTTTATTTATTATTCATACATTTTGTTATCGAAGTTGCCCGTACGTTATCGGCCTATCGTTCTCCTATTATCCATACACTTATAACTATTATTGTTATCACTCCTCTTTCACAAAATTCAATTTGTTAAATTAAGAAGAATCTTTCGATGCTCGAACAATTAATTCGTACAGTCTTTAAAATAACTTTCACGTAGATTTACTCAATTGTTTACCTATGATATTAAAATTGTGTTACAATCAGTTTTTATCTTCAATTTCTTACCCCGAGATCTATAAAAGATACTTACACTTTGCAAATGTGATTACCAAAGTAATATAATTAAAATAGCTAATATTTTTTTGTTTTAGTACAAATATATAAAACAGGTATATAGAAATTAGAAAAATGAAATTATGTATTCTTACGATATATTATTTTGGATTAGGTGGCAAAATATTGTTTTTGAAATTGATTTTAAAGCAATACTAATGAAGGACAAATTTTTTCTATTATATTCATTAACGAAAATTGAATTTTAATTTTTCAGAGCTTAATTTTTAAATATTATTTTTATAATTCATATGGCATTATGATTTATTTTTGTTAAAATATAAATCTAAAAACGAATTCACTATATTTCTTTTTCATGCAAAATTTTACACTTTGCTTATATTATAGTTCTTTCGTAAAAAGACTATTTTTAAAAAAATTAATATAATTCATTCGTATATTAACATTTATAAATAATAAAAAGTTAAATTGTTTATAAAAATGATCTTACTTTTTAGACAATAGATAAATTTTTGCTACAATTTTTTGTAAAAATATCATTGTAGCTGTTACCTTGAGTTGTTAAAAACTCTTTTTCTTTTTTAAAATACGATTTTTATGTATAAATGAATTGCAATATATTGAAATTCGATATTATAATTAACGTAGGTCGTCACAAAATGCAATTAAATTATAAATTCATATAGGAAATGATTTGATTAAGAAAATTTTTACCTCGTAAATTATAACCAGTGTATTTCAATTTTATGTAAATATATGAAATTAATAAATGAGATTCCTATATTAATTAAAGCAATGTAAAATTTTTTAAATACTCTACTACTATTTGAAAATTTGTTTAAACAAACATTTGATTTGAGTTTAATTAATAAAGAAATTTATTTGATATTATTGTAAACAAATTATTACTATGGTCATGGCTTGCAATTTTTCTTCATTGTTTATAATAATGAAAATTACGTAGCAGACAACATGATTGGATACAATATTTGTCGAATGATCGATGTGTCTTTTAATTTACGTTACCTTACCTTTTTAATCGATTAGAAAGATTTTTGTATGAATATTAAATGCATTGCGTGACTTATGTTAAATAAAAGTGAAACGTGTCAATGGTGTCAATAAAAATTCTTGAATATCTTTTATAAAATATGTTGAACATTATCTGATTCAACATATATATCATCTATATATCATATATATATATATCATATCATATATATATACGCTAGGATTTATTATATTTCATAGTGATTTGCAGTATATTTTTAATAAATGAGATAGTGAAAATTTACAAAAAAATACTTGAGTTTAGGATTATATATTATTATGTTGGTAATTTTAAGCATCACATTTTCAATTTCTTTATTACTAATGCAATTTTATAACCAAGTAAAATGAGCAACATAATTGTATCCATATTAATAACAATATAATAACTCGAAATAGAATAGAATTTTCAATTTATTGTTTTACATGTGAATTGAAATGAAACTATAGAATAATAAATTTTTTTACAAAATTAAATATAATATGTAAACATTATGTGGCTAAAATCATATTAATATTACGTAGTGTTATATATTATAAATAAAAACTTTTGTTTGCAAATTGAATTATACTAACAACTACAATTTTTTCTTTATATTAAAACAAGAACTCAATGTTAAATAATACATTTATATTTTTCTATTAAATTTCTAAATAAAAATTGTAATTTTCTGTCGTTAAATGATCTTATAATTATCCAGAAATGTGTGTAAAATCATATATACATGTAATGAATAATCAAAAATATTTTTTGAAAAATTTCAACTCAAATATTGGAGAATATGTTTATTGTAAAATTAAAAATGGCGTAGAGAAAATTTTTTTGATTTTTTTATTTAATTTCCATAAATTTACAAATTAATTAAAATTTTTCATTCTATGATAATTATTAAATTTTTTTTTATATATCAATTATCAATTATAAAATGTTTATAACATTATTTATATATCAATATAAAAAATGTGAATTTTTTCTCAACAAAGTACAAATATATATATATATATATATATATATATATATATATATATATTAGAATTAGTTTAGATTATTTGAAGAATAAACATCTTTATTAAAAAAAAAAACTCTTAACCCACAACGCTTTTATGATTTACTAAGTAATCATTTTTAAAAATCATGTTTATTATTAATATAATTTGTAGTATTTTGTAATTAATAATAGATTTTTAAGAATATGTAAATGATATTTTTTTGTCTTGCGTTAAATTTAATTGGAAATATAAGTAATTTATTCAATCTTCTTTAGAATTTTCATTAAATTCGCTTTTTCAATTTTCTGCTCTTACAAGTTTGAATCATCGAAATGTTTACTTGATCCAAAATTTGGAGATTTACATAGCGACATGGATGTCTATAATTGTGCGTAGAATTGTGCAATTCTTAAATATATGGCACAGACATTTTATTACTGTTTTATTTTAGAATAAACTTTTTCACTAGTAAGTTCTTTTATAATTTAGCGTTGACTAATATGATAATTATATAGAGTAAATGATTCAAATTGGAAAAGGCTTGGTTTGATATCGAAGTCAAATCATATTTCACATATTTTGTTATATTTCTGCACATTTTTGCCGATTTATCGTTTAAACATTAAAAATGTTATCACTATACTTTAAATCTGTATCATAAAATGAAATCATTTCTTACTTATAGTTAATAAATGATACACATATAAGTAAGAGTATAAATATGTTTTTATTAAACACATAGAAATTGTATAAAATGCTTTTATACGATTGTAAATCTTTCGTATTATTGAAGCAAAATATGTTTGTAAATATATATTAAATAATTAGGTAATATAACATAGTTCATATATAGTTTATTTTTTTAAAGATTTTATCGTTTATTTAAAGATATTATAAAAATAAGTGGAGGTTAAATAATAATAAGTTTCTGAATTCATTATATTTTAATTATTATTTTCAATTACATCCATAATATTTGCAAAGACACTGTAATTGTTCGGTGGTGAATAATTATGAATTGATTGAATTAATCAAAGTTTAAAGTGCATTTTTGTGTATTATTAATCATAATTTTAGATTTTCTATAACTATTTTTTTATATTTATAGCTTTTTGTAAATATATACTTTTCAACACATAAAACTTTTTATGTAATAAAATACTTTGATAGCGGTTCATAATAGAAGCAAACAAGCTTCTGTTTCTGATTTACTGCAGGGTAAACAAGAAATACAAAACTCACAAATCACTATTTTTCGTCTCAATATACGCTTCTTTATTATTCCAATAGATAACTCTTTGTCTGCCTCTGTCTGTTTATCTCTCTCTCTCTCTCTCTCTCTCTCTCTCTATCTATCGCTCTCTCTGTGGGTGAATATCAAATACATCAACCAATATAAAATGAAACAAACGCTTGTGCGAAGTGAAGCGTCGAAGGTGGATTGTGCACTTGTTGAAAGGAAACAGAGAAGCGTGCTGATATATATTTGCACGTTGTCATGAAAACCAAAAAATTCGATGAAGGAAGGAGAGCCGCAGACGGGGCTAGAATGTAAATTGAATCGATGATGCCTTCTTTTGGG